GGAGCTGATGTGGAGAACAACATCATTGTGACTCATTATCCTCCCTCATACGATCTACTATCTGATTATGCATCCACATAAAGCACTGTATGCAGTGCGCTGTGCGTATGTAATTACCACATCTGGAAACAACTCAGAAACACGGAGCTCCAACTCATCCACTTCAGTTAAAAGCCAATCACTCTCCTCCTCTCTGTTTGTGATTAACAGCCATCTGTTTTCTGTAAAAATGACATAGCAGTTTGCCATAATCACTCTCATCATTCTCATAAAGTAAAGCACTGTAGTCCCAATAAACTTGATGTAACGCCTCATAAAAAATACATAGACATTTTTTATGTTCGAATGATCCTAATATACAGTAGTTAGTCCATAGACTGTAAAGATGGGCGTCTCCACTTCCTCTTCTGACGTCATTTGGAGTCTGTGCAGCAGCAGTCGTGGTGTGGAGATCCCATCAATACATGTGAGTAGTCTCAGCTGTCAGTCGTGACTTTTCACAACGTTTTTGTTGCATCAAATATCCGATTAAAACCAAATGTACGTGCACAACTGCTAACGCTGAGTCGCCAAGGTTAAGGACCTTTCAATCAAAACACTTTGGTTTCACTTCTGGGGAGCTGTCAAGTTGTCAATCCCAAATATCAGTCGCTACCCACATTCAGAGTCAGAGTGAAGATTTAGCAAAACCTCTGACGTTCGCACCAGATTTGTACATTAACAGGGATCAAGCACAACCTTGAAGTGAAGCACGTGCTATGTTATTTGAATGTGAGCTAGTAAATTACACCCAAGTAACATTGGAATGTAAATAACAATATTACAAATCATACTTCATACATAATCATACACCTCTGTCAGAAAAGTGCACATCAGTAGACCTTCATTCATTCTTTAAATCAGCTGTGTGCCAGTTTCAGTCGTGTTAGTGAGTTTTCCTTGACGGAATTCTCTTCTCTTTTTTCTTTGAAGATCTGATTTTCACTTTCTTTTCATGTCACCACTTAAAGAGCATAAAACCACTGTCTTCATTAGCAGAGACAAGATGCTCTCCTGCCTCGGAGCCCTGCTCTGTAATGTTGAGTGATACTATAGCTGTTCTACTACATTAATATTTTGTGTTGTGTGAATTTAAAATCTGACAAATCTGAGTGTGTGAGCAAATTTACTGCGATAGATAATGAAATTTTTTTTTAAAGAGCAACACCGAGTCGTCAGTGAGCTCAATGACATCCGTCTGAACAAAGGAAACACTAAGGACACAAACTCTATTGATGGCAGGTGTTTTCATGGTCCCTGAAGATATCAAGCAGCTAATGTGGCGTAATGATCAAGGTGAAGATGTAATGATTGGCACGCAGCTAATTGTCCGTTATGCTAGCTGCTGAGGCTTAAAATAGAGACTGAGGGGGGCGGAGAAGTGTCAATTCTCATAAATCTGGCCACAATCAGGTGGAAAAACTCATCATCTCTGAAGGTTTTCAACTTAAATACCAGAATCTATCTCTCTATCACGTTTGCTGTGTATTCTTGGGAGTTCCTTGCTTCCCCGACCCTGTTGCAACACCCCTGCTAGAAAAGATGTATTTTTCTAGTGTGGCATTGCTTCTTAAGTACACGTTACTTCTTTTACCACTGATGAAGGGATTTTATTTCCTCATAACTGTCGCGACCACACGTTCCTGCGTCGGAAGCTTAGAGAAAAATCTGAATCGTCAGAGTTGTGGTACGTTGAGTGAATTAAAGGCAGTTGGACGTTCTGACTTCTCTTGAAAAAGCTTCCAGCACATTCATCGCCTTCACTTCTACGACTTTCACCCGACTCCCATCAGACCTTATCACCCACATGTGATCTTTAGATTCTCAGTGTGTGAACGTCCCTGCACAGTTTAAATACGTCTGACCCCCAGATTTATCCTGGACTCATGAAGAGTTGAAACAACTGGAAATATTTCTACATATTTAGGAAAATAGCAGTGAAGAGCTTCTGTCCTCTTACTGCATTGTGATACTACCACCTGCTGGCCATTGTGTTCCATTACAAGATATAACAGGGGAAGAGCTCAGCACATGTAAACTCATTGAACACAACATACAGTGGTTTTACCAATAGTGTCCAATCTTTGTTTGTTAGCTGTATTATTCTATTTAAAAAAAAAAGTATAACTATAATTGGAAATCATTCATACAAACGTTTAATGTTCAATGTTTAATTAGCAATTAAGTGAAAAACACAAAAAGTACATTAAGTACTTGTCTACTGTCAATTTCAGTATCAAAACACCTGTACATTAATTCAGAGAGAACATTAGGTGAACTCTGCTGAATTGCATTTCTGTGGCAGCATGAATATGTAAGATGCATAACATCGGATCAAACGCTCTTAAATGAGGCTTTTACACTGATGTTTTATTAATTATGTCTTTCACAAAGAGCAAAGCTGAATCTAGATTCACTCTGCATTGTCTTTACTTTGCAGTAGCTGCTCTTCCCCGTCAGAAACAATAGGACAATAGAAAATAGGCACCGGATCATTTTTAAATATTCATTTATTTAGAATTAGTTCTCTGGTTTGTAACATACAAGCTTGTTGTACAAGGAATACTACAGAGGTACAGGTTTTTACATTTGACTCTGTCATATACACAGACTCAGATTTTCAGATGGGTTTTCCAACAAGGAGACTTTGCCCTTCTACAGCTTAAACCAGTGTCAGATCTGCTTCATACCCCCCCACCCCCACAAATGTCAATGTTTGCGTTAAAACGACATGTGACACAGTCCACAACCTCACACATGACGATACCACCCAACAGGTCAACGTCAAGTCAAATAATCACATGCTCAGGGAACATTAGCATAATTTCAAATCATCCAAATTCCCCTCGCGACAGATTCACTGGAGTATTTGTCCATGCATACATATATGTATATATATATGTATAACTTCTGGGCATTGCAGCGTAAAGAGCTATGATTGTTTTTGTACTTGATGGTTTTTTGGAAACAACAT